AAGGCAGAGTGAACGAGACTGGGTGGAGGGACACTCTGAACATGGTCTGACAGAGCCTCGGCCAGGCCCGTGGGGCACCCGGAACACGGCTGGTCCATCAGAGCATCTGCCTCAGAACAAATGCCCAGGCCCTCACATCTCTGCCTTTTAGTCATCAGATGTGACCACTCCAGGACGGGTGAGGCTTGGGCCAGGGAGCTTTCTGCAGCTGGGACAGGCCCCACAGGGGCACACAGCCAGCTGACCACACCCCCTGCCACTGCTGACCTTCGTGGTGCATCTCCAGGTCTGAGCACAATTTTCTTCTAGACCAATACTTCCCTCCCTGCCCTCGGACCTGAGAGCCCTGTGAAGGTGACAAGGAGGGGCCCATGAGTTGTTTTATTATTTCGAAGCGTATGTTTTGTACTGATGTAAAGCTGCGACCCAGAGTTGTTTTCATCCTGGGACTTGATGAGCACATGCCAGTGACATTGGGTTGAGGGTGGAGGGTGTTTATCCTCCAGATGAGGAGTTTGGGGAAAGCCGTGTAAGTGCCACCTTGTAAAATGGGGACTGAAGTCACACAGGCCCATGAGTTAGGAGGGAAGAAGTGGACTTGGCTGAGATGACACAAGCAAGGAGCCGGGTCGTGATGCTGAAGACGGTGTCCTGCACTGGTTTTATTTCTGTTGACATTGCCGTTGTTCTGGCTGCAACTGTGTTTGTTAGATTTTTGTGTCTTGTGGCTCCAGGTCAGTGTGCGCCATGTGAGTCCTCTCTTTATGCCCTGAAGGTGGGTCTAGGGCCACTGCTGTTGTATCTAAAACACATCCTTTACTCTGTATTCCTCAGCGGTTTCACTTCTGTGGCCAAACTCTGATGCCCCACCCTCATCATCCCTGCCGTCCTCACCACCACCTTCACCAGCATCACCACGAACACTGTCATCATGGTACCGCCAGCTTTGCTGCCATCGCCACCACCATCACAGCATCACCTTCACGGTCTCCACAACCATCTCCATCCCCTTCACCTTCACCATCATCAGGTCACCACCATCATCAGCATTGTCACCGCCATCATCACCATTGTCACCACCATCATCACCATTGTCACCGCCGTCATCACCATCATCATCACCATCATCACCATCATCATCACCATCATCAGCATTGTCACCGCCATTGTCACCATTGTCACTGCCGTCATCACCATCCTCTTCACCATCATCAAGGCCACTGTCTTCATCGTCATCACTTTTGTCACTATCTCCACCATCATTCTCATCCTCACCATCATGGGACAGGTGGATGAGATAACTTCTGTGTACAGAGGGTAGAACTATATCAAAGGAGGCTCAAGTCCCAGCCCACTTTCACAGAGAGCCGACAGACAGGACCAGCATTTGGTCGTGACTTCAATGCCAATCTGTGGTAGCCAGGCAGGTAGCATGAATGGCTGAGATTTGGGGTATGAGGAAATGTGGAATGGTGGGACCATAATGAACTAGCGGCTGGAGATGATCAAATCCAAGTTTCTGCCCAGCACACGCCCTCGGCCAGGGAACCCAGCCCAAGGCCCCCCCATTTGCTCTGATAGCCGGGGGGTTGTTTCCCCTGAATTCAGTGACTTCCCCCTTTGTGGTGAGGAGACACAGCAAGGCCGTTTGTCAGGGCTATGGAGGCCATGGTCAAGGGAGAGGGCTGCAGTTTTAAAATCAGACAGATTTGGGTTTGGTCTCAGATGTGTAGTGTCAGTCGTGTCAGCTAACTTCTCCGGGCAGCAGTCCCCTCATCCGAAAAGTGACAACCTTGTCTTATTTGGCTGTCCTGAGGGCAGAGAAGACACTTTGGAGAGCACTCAGCTCACACCCAGCACTCAGTGAATGCTGGTGACACGGCAACTAGCTTGGGGGGTCCTGAGACAACTAGGAGCCTCCCCATACCTTGTGACCTGCCCTCACGATACCATGCTCACTCTCACACTCATACACACTCTCTCTCTCACACGTGCACACACACTCACACATGCTCACACACACACTCAAACATGTGCATACACTCACACACTCACTCTCACGTGCACACACACACACCCTCACATGTGCACACACACACTCACACACACACTCTCAAACACATGCACACACTCACACTCTCTGACACTCACACTCTCACACGTACACATACTCACACTCACAAATTCACACACACTCTCACTCTCACACACACACTCTCTCTCACACGTGCACACACACTCACACATGCTCATACATACACTCAAACACGTGCACACACACACTCTCACATGTGCACACACACTCACACTCACACACTCCCAAACACATGCACACACACTCTCACACGTGCACCCACACTCACAAATTCACACACTCTCACTGTCACACACACTCCATTTTCAATCCTGCAGCTCTCACCATCTGCCTAATCCCAGAAACAGCCTCTGGACTATACATTCCTGGAGGAAATAATTGCTTTCCTCCTCCAGGAGGAAGATGCCTCATGACATCCTTGAGGAGAATGAACTCACACCGAGGACTCCCGGAGGACAGACTCTGACCCCAGCGGGTTGCTGGTGCTGGGCCTGCCTGAGTAACCAGCCCCGCCTGCCTGCCTAGAACACCTTGCCTCAGGCCACCCAGTTTCTCCTGCTGCCCTGCGGGAGGCCTTCGGTTCAACATCCAGTCGTGGGTGGGCTCCTTCCTGTCCTGCTGGGCCGCCCAAACCCAGCCAGTACTCCCCTCCAGTGACAGCTCTTTCCTGTAAGGGAAGAACAGAGAAAGGGGATGTCTTTTCTCCTCCAGGGCTGCAGTGGGCCTGAGTCTCTCTCCTGAGGGCTGGGAAGGGGCTGGTTTCTTCAGTCCTAGGTGGGCCTGCCCCAGGGGACAGCCTGCAGCCTTTCAGCCTGTCCTCACGGGGGATGGCAGAGGGGAGGGACTCTGGAGTCAGGCTGCCAGAGTGCACGTATTGGGTGTTGGCTGCACGTCTGGGCAGTGGTCTGGCCTCCCTCAGCCTTGGTGTTCTTGCCCACACACTGGAAATGGATGTGAGGATGGAGTGTAGACCTCGACTTTCACCCGCTCCCAGTTAGGTGCACACAGGATCTTCCTCCTTATTCTCATATAGTTAAACTTAGCCCTAGACGTCCCATTTCCACTCAGAGCTGGAAGACTGAATCTGCCCGTTCCACATAATCAAAAGAGCAAATAGACAACGCACAGAATGGGAGGAAATATTTGCAAACTGCACACCTGATAAAGGGCTGATCCTGAGAATCTACAAAGGACTCAAACAGATTAGCAAAAAGCCAAACAACCCTAACAGAAAGTAGGCAAAGGACACGAACAGAAGCTTTTCAAAAGAAGATAGACAAATGGCCACTAAACATATTTAAAACAGCTCAATGGCTCTAATCATCAGGGAAGTGCAAATTAAAACTGCAACGAGGTATCACCTTGCCCCTGTTAGAATGACTTTTTATTAAAACGTCCAGAAACAGTAGATGCTGGCACGGATGCAGAGAGAAGGGAACGCCTGTGCGCTGTGGGTAGGGGCCGTTAGTACAGCCTCGGTGGAAACAGTATGGCAGCATGGAGATTCCTCACGGAACCAACCGTACACCAACCATGTGGTCCAGCAATTCCACTACTGGTATTTCCTAAAGGGAAAGAAGTTATTTTATCAAAAAGTCACCTGCAGTCGAATGTTTACTGCAGCACAATTCACAATGGCAAAGATGGGGAATCAACTCAGGTGCCCTCAGGTCACGAGAGGATTAGTGAGAC